ACTCTATTGCTGATGCTCCGCTGATACTCTGCTGCAATATTAAACTAATTATTTTGCGGAGCACGTGTTGCTAAGAAATATGGAAGTTTTATCGTATATACTCATGTAAATGCTGACGAAATGTTGGAAAACGATGTGAAAATTTTTGATTAATACGGATAAAACGAGATATAGAATAGATCGGATTTAATTAAAAACTGCAAAAATAAGTTATTAAAGTGAAAAAATAAATTCTACGCTAAAAACAAATAATAATTTATAACGAACGTGAAATTAATATTTACTACAAATTTCACTTACAATACCAAGTTATTATTTGCGGACTCAAACGGATCGACAGTCACCCGGAATTCAATTCGACTCGTTGTCTTAATTATAAATATATAGGTATATGTATATTACGGGTGTTTTAAGCTATTGCATAGCTTCTAACACGGGTTTTGACCGTGGGGACTGAATCAAGAAATTCCATAACGGAAATAAACATAACACGATCACAAAGTATGCGCAACATTTGCATACTTTTAGACAGCAGGGTGATTCAAAAATAATAATATTTAATATACAATTTTTTTGCCAAATAAAACAATGGAATTTAATAAAAATTAATTAATATAAATAAATTATTCAATATTCGAAGTTATAATGGTAGTAACATTATTATTTAGTATGCATAGCTTTTATTGCATTTATTAATGTTTGTATATTTATCTACATGCAACATGTGTATGTAAATATGTACACTAATTGATTCATGCGAAAGGTTTATGGATGCGATGAGAAAATATTTTAGAACTGCAAAATATTTTAAATCGACAAGAACTATGTTGTCATTTTGTCACTTTTTCTGTGTTTGTTTAAATATGAATAAACAAGGTGCATTTGTTAATGAAGAAAATAATAAAACAAGTACGAAAGGGCTAAGTTCGGTTGTAACCGAACATTTTATACTCTCGCAAAGTTAAATGGTATACTCGTTTGAGATTTCTTTATATATTTTAAAATTAGAAGTAGGAGCTTTTGCCTTAGTTATTTACATTCACAGTGAAAATAATTAGAGCAATTTAAAACTAAATTTACTAAAATTATGAGAAATCATTCTTGTGTTTTTGTATCGCTTATAATTGATTTTATTTTTACTTATTATATCGATATTATTTTAAGTACATGTTTAGCTTAAACATAATAAATATTAACAACTTTAAAAATATATTATTATATTAATTTGTATATAATATTTACAATATTAAACATAAATTTTATACACGTTCTGTTTATGTTGACA